CTGAACTCTTTGCAGACCTCAAAGTTTTCCTCCTGAGCGCAGTCCAACACAGCCACAGCGATGGCCTCATGCCAATCTGAGACAGAATCAGAACCAATCAGAACCATACCTGTCACGTTTTGGTCTACAGAATAGGAGATATATCCAGGGTGTGGGGGGGGGGAACATAGAGTAACGTAATAGGACTGGGGGACTAATATAAGAACTGAAGGAGGGTATTGTATACCACACATAAAACCTGGGAGAGCAACTAACAAGAGGGAGGTGGCACAATCCGGGATATTTAAGGGAGTACAGCAGGAAAGGGGGGTAAAAAATGGTAGTTTCCCAGCCAAAACGGGAGACTTGACAGGTAAGATCAGAACCATCAGAACTGAAGCTTTCATTTCCTCTTCATCGTTTCACACATCATATCTCTAGATGTGAGCCGATCGGCCGCTGGTCATAATCATCCGATTTCCGTGAAAAAGTGTATGATCGTTGATCGCTGATCACTTTCTCTTGTTGCTGATCACCGAAACCAATCACCTGTATTTCACTTCACAGCCTGCAGCTGATCTCCTCTGCCTCCTCCCTTCAGAATTACTCAGCATGATCAGAAACAACCAATCAGAGCCAGCATTAATCAGCGAGCCAATCAGCATTAGTCTTGATTCAGTAACTCATGATTGTTTATTTTGATGCTTTTGACTTTAATGATTGTTTCCTTTTCTTCTTGACATTATTTGATATCTGTGTTGTGAGATTTATTTGACTCCTGTATAATTTATGGCTGAGAGCCTTACTGTTAAATATTATTGTACTGATTGCAGGTTTTTCAGTCCTTTTGACTGAACAGCTGCTGTTTTTAGTGTTGTAGTACTCAAGACCGGTCTTGTGCAAAACTATGTTCCCCTGAGAAAATTACTGATTAGCAGCTGAAATATTTGTTTCCCCTTTCATAACTTTGGCAAATGAAGAGGAAATGTTACCANAGCATGTATAAAAATGAACGTTGTGTCAAAGTTAGCGTAAATATACACAGAGTTTTTCGCTGGGTGAAAATGTGCAGCAGCCACACAAACTTTTTCTGTGGACAATATCAAACCACAAAGCGTCAAAACTCACCTAAATACACTGAAGTCTGACTACACTCAGTTATTTAGACCAAGAAGCACCAAACCAATGTTTTTCATGATTTTAATATTTTATTGTTAAACGATGAAACTGAACCCATTCATCCTCAGACAATAAGCTAACACGAACACAAAATAAAAATAAAAGGATGTGAAAACCTCGCTAGAGTGTAAATGGCACTTTTCCTCAGTTTGTGTCTCATAGAGATGTAACACATTGATCTGTGAGCCGAAATGCATCTATGGGGTCATTTCATTCTCACTGAAAACAGGAAACAGGCTCAGCAGATTAACTCCAACCTGCTGAGTAAAACTAATCAACAGGTTTGATTATTTAAGGTGATCCAGGTGTGTCTGCAGTCACACGGATATCAGTAGCTGCATCCAGGTGAGCCGTAAATGTGGAGCTTTGGCTCTGATGGAGAGCAGAGGGAGGATTGATCAGAGATCATATTGATCTGATTGTTTACTGGTGTTTAGATTCATCCAGACTGATCATCCTGGATCTCTGAGCAAAACTTAAAGAAGGAGCCGAGCGGTACCGGTACCGGTCCAGCTGCAGCCATCCAGCCGCCCGCTTTGTGAAAGCGCCTTATGGACATAAAGCATCTTAATTCTGTAAATGTACAACTTATTCACATGATTCTACTAATAAACGTCCAGTTTCCCCCACAGGCCCTCTGACTCTTTAAATCCCGGCTGAACTGCTGCTGTTCAGGCACTTAGATCTCTTTGTTTTATTTTATTAATTTGGATTTTTTTTCTTTAAAATGTATTTTATTTATGTGAGGTGACATTATGTGCCCTCAAAGCACCTTTTAAATAAAATATATAGTTATTATTGTTATAATAACTACAAACCAGGCCGTTGCCATGGTTACTGCCTCGCGTGGGGACAGACTTCCGGGTATTTATGCTAATTTACATTCATATGTATTTATGGAGCCAACAGGCAAATTAGGATTAATAAAGGAAAGGTGGGTGCGGTTTTTTTTTAATACTTATTTTTTATTGAACATTTCTGAACAGATACAGTGGAGAGGCATCAATAATTCATCTTCATATACAATGTTAAACATCCATGTCCATATTTAACTGGTTATAAAAGTGGCANCCATAAAGTCATATTTTTATCAGACATTCATCATCCTTTTGAATGACGTCCTGTGTGAGGCATCCCAGGCAGAGTGTTTTACATGATCTGGGTATTCCATATCCCAATATGTTTTTCAAAATAAGACAAACATTATGCCAGTGTGTGGTTAGCTTTCACAGGACCAGAATATGTGTCTCCAGCATGGCTGTGAACTGGAGACCATCCTGGTCCTGATCTTTGGGGTTATGGAAAATCTAATCATGTTTTTCCAATTAAATTCCCTCCACACACGGGAGCAGGTGGCTGTGCACTGCATTTTACAGATTTTAAACCATTCCTCCCCGCTTTTATGTTCCTTCAGTTCCTCTTCCCATTTTTCTTTAATGTACATAGTAGCTGTCTTCCTGCCTGCCATCCCTGGTACAGTGCTGAAATTTCCCTCATAGGTCTTATGAAACATCTCTATTATTTTACTTACGCTGGTTTTTATCTCTTTCTCATAATAATCTTTTATTTGCAAGTATCTATACTGGTCTTGGTCCTCCGATTCATATTTTTTCTTTAAGCTATTAAAACTCAGCAGTTTGCCCGTTTCAACCAATTTACACATTGCTGTAATACCTTTATTTGCCCACTGTTTGAAACATTTATCATAAATTCCTGGTTTGAACCTTGGGTCCCAAGTAAACCAGCTCAAACTCCTTGTTTCCTTCTCTAATTTATAGTGATCAATTACTGTGTTCCATATTTCTATTGGAGTCTTAGTTATTGAATCTAGCTTATTGCTTAATTTGCTTNA